TTTGAACTCTCCATCTCTGATTCAGTATGTGTCTGCCTCCAATGTCTTTCCTAAATATGACATTTCCTGTTGTCTTTCGATAGTTATGACTTGTGTCATTGGAGAAAGGCTCTTCCTTACGGCAATCGCTGGTACTGAGATACTGCTCCCATGCTGGCCAACAATACGCAACATGACTATGGCGCAGGTTTCCTGGACAAAGGATGATCAGAAGAAGCCTGTTGTTGTGTATAAACCGAAGCGTTGGCCATCAGTACAAAATGAAAACTATTCTGGACGGATAGAGATGGGAAACCAATCTCTCATGGATGGATCAATCCAAATAAAAGCTTTGAAAATGCAGGATGAGGGAAATTACACATGTGATCTTACACTATTCCCTCAGGGAAAAGAGACAAAAGCAATCCATTTAACAATTCTAGGTATGTACCCGACCCGGGATCGTGATTTATGTGGACAATATATCGTTGGAAAGGAAATGTGTGTGTGTGTGTGTGTGTGTCTGTGTGTGCGTGTGTGTTTGTGTGTATGCGCGAGAGAGTGTGTGTGCGAGTGTGTGTGCGTGCATGCGTGTGTGTGTGGGCACGCGTGTGTGTGTGTGTGTGTGAGTGTGCGTGTGTGACTGTGTGTGTGTGTATGAGTGTACGTGTGTGTTTGTGTGTGAGTGTGTGTGTGAGAGAGTGTGTGCGTGTGTGAGTGTGTGTGCGTGCATGTGTGTGTGTGCATGCACGTGTGCGTGGGCACGCGCGCGTGTGTGTGTGTGTGAATGTGTGCGTGGGTGTGTGTGCGCATGAGTGTGTGTGTGTGTGTGCGCGCGTGTGTGTATGTGTGTGTGCGTTTGTGTGTGTGTGTGTGTGCTTGTGTGTGTGTGAGAGAGAGTGTGTGTGTGTGTTTGTGAGTGTGAGTGTGTGCGTGTGTGAGTGTGTGTGTGTGCGTGTGTGTGTGTGTTGGTGTGTGCACGTGTGTGTTTGCATGTGTGTGTCAGTGTGTGTGCGTCTGTGTGTGTGTGAGTGTGTGTGTGTATGTGTGAGTGTGTGTGTGGGTGTATGAGTGTGTGTGTGTATGTGAGTGCGTGACTGTGTGTGTTTGCTTGTGTGTGTGTGTGAGTGTGCGAGTGTGTGTGTGTGTGTGTGAGTGCGTGACTGTGTGTGTTTGCGTGTGTGTGTCTGTGAGTGTGTGACTGTGTGTATGTGCGCGCG